ATTCTATTTGACATATCTTCTGACATTCTATCTGGCATATCTTCTGATATTCTATCTGGCATGTCTTCTAACATTCTATCTGGCATATCTTCTGACATTCTATCTGGTATATCTTCTGACATTCTATTTGATATATCTTCTGACATTCTATCTGACATATCTTCTGACATTCTATCTGGCATATCTTCTGACATTCTATCTGGCATTCTATCTGGCATGTTTTCTGGCATTCTATCTAGCAATGTATCTAGCAATCTATCTGACATACTATTTGGCATACTATCTGGCATACCTTCTATGCAACATTCTATCTGGCAATCTACTTGGCATTCTATCTGGCAAACTATCTGGTTGAGGTCCAGCGGTGCACACTGCGATCAGATCCTTGCGGTTGAGGTCCAGGGGTGCACACTGCGATCGAATCCTTGCGGTTGAGGTCCAGGGATGCACACTGCGATCGGATCCTTGCGGTTGAGGTCCAGGGATGCACACTGCGGTCGGATCCTTGCGGTTGAGGTCCAGGGGTGCACACTGCGAACCGGAGCTGGACGAAGGAAGCAAGATTAGCGACGAAGGAAGCAAGGAAGAAGGAGGAAGGAGGAGGACGAGGAGGCGGCGGAGGCGGAGGCGGAGGCGGAGGAGGAAGAACAGTTGTGATAAAATCTAACAACCCTCACCCGACAAGTGGGTAATAATAACACCATCTTTAATTGTAATATGCGACAATCAAACATATTCATAAATTCGATAAATATCATTTTTTTTGCCAAATAAAATTCTAACACACTCGAAAATCATTATAATGAATATCATATATTTAGAATTTTAAACCGATAATAATATATCAAAAGCAAATATATTACTATTATTACTATTATTGTTATTGTTATTCACTTCCGGCAGAAGTAGCTCTGCCCGTGTTAGGCTTCGATCCGTAGATCGACTACGTCTAGCGCATCTAGCCGGCATCGACAAAATTCATGGCTCTTGGCTGGACGAAAAAAGCACGAAGGGATTGCAATGTACCAAGGATTTCCAAGCACTGGTGAGGTGTGTGCTTTCAACTAGCCAGAGGAGGTACAAGTCCTGCTCTCAAGGTCAGGTGTGAGTGCACATGGCAGGGCTCTGCTCCAGTCTTCGGTCATGAATCTGCTCCCTCCAATTCGAAGGCAGGCCTAGTAGTGGCCGGCGTGGGGTTCGACACCTCGGTGAAGCACGACAAAAACTATCTCAAAATGTTTCCATCTAACAATCCAACCTTGTTCATGAATAAAATACGGCAAGTGGACGGAGACTCGGTTCCATCGAAATGGCGGTGAAGACCGAACTCCTAAAGTTGGGAACCGGTTCACTTGGAGGCATACCGTCGTAGTGGAGTCTGAAAATCCGCAATGAAATGGGACTTGTTCATGCCAAAGATTCACTAGATCTTGAATGGTGCAATCGCCATCTTTCGTCTGCTGAAGGAGGACTGGTGCATAGAGCAAGCAATCCTCTGTACAGGCTTCAAACCTTGCTTCCCATTTAGAAACGGGTCTTCCGTGTTCCCGTGAAACCCCATGCAAGGGGTGCCTAAGCCAGCCAACAAACTCAGCTAAATCATATTGTTTCCCCCACTGCATGATACGTATACCATGGCTTCAAAAGGTGACCCAAGCAATACTCATCCGTCAATAAAATTGATGGGAATTAGACTGTGCAAGCAATCGAACCAAAGAATCTTTTCAGAGTCCCATGTCATGCCAAACAAACGTGTCATCCATACAACAAGCCCAGAGCTCGGTAATCAGAGCCGAATTCATGTAGCAGACGTTTCTGACATTCCCCAATGAAAGGGCCAGGATGGCCTGCCTCATCTCGTCAAGCGAGCTGCAATAGCCTGAGCCAATGGTGATCTTTGCAGTGTCGACGGTCGGATTCGAACAAAAATCGGCTGCGTCGGTCCGCTGCCAACCAATCCCACCAGGGCCGTACAACTCCTGAGCAACCTATCCCCTCAGTAAAATGTCCAGTTTCCAAGATACCATAACTGAATCCTTGACCGTCGAGTCCTAAGGCATAGGTTTCAAGGCCGAGAATCTGGAGATCAGATCGGCCTAAGTTACCAATAAATGGATCTTCTGGATCAAAATAGAGGTTTCCTCGGATGAAAATAAATTTCGGGTTATGGCCTTCAATATTTTCTCGTTAGGGTCCCACTGTAGGTAATTCCTAGAGTTAGTTGCAATCAATATCTGCTTGCTCTAAAGGGCCCGAATCCGAATCAATTCGTAGTCGTTTGACCCGAAAGAGAATTTCGAAGCTCGAAAAAAACAACTCCTCGAACACTAGTCGGAACATATATTAGCGCAAGGATATCATAACTTGTCCGAATTCCCTCTGCCCATACCAATCCTTTACCAACTTCAATATCTATGGCAAAATATTACCTTTTCCTGCCTAAACGAAGAAAAATAAAACTCTTATCGAAGTGGTAATTGTGGGTATCCAATATTCTTGTTTATTAAAACGACCATTCGTCGCGAAAAAACATTAATATTCGCGAAATTTTCGCGAATCCTATGTTTTTCTTTCGCGGGGATTCACCAGGTCATGAAACCATTTAACCTAATAAAAACTCGATTTCTAAATACAAGTGCACGGAGTGTTTTTAGTTCAACAAAAAAATACTATAAACAAGAAAATAGTAATGAAGTAGAATTTCATTAATACATATTATTAGAAAAAAAATCTGCACAAAAATATTAGATGTTAAGATTTATAACATTACTATAAGCTACGGGGTTCCTCTAGAGCCGATTCATTTAGCGAAACCTTCGCCAGACTTTCACGATATTTATAATATAGGTTAGATTATTTAAAAAAAAAAAAAAAATCATACGGATTCCAAAATTAAAGCTATTCATATTTTCGCGAATCTTTCGTAAAAAAAAATACATTCGCGAATTCGAAAAAACAATTTCGCAAAACCTACAATCATATCATCCAAGGCTCTCGACATAAAAAATTCTTACAACAACCTTTTGCATAATTCCCAACAAAATTTAATTTAATTAATCCTCCTATTAAAATTAAATTTCCATCATTTCCCAAATCCGAATCCAATAAATGCAAAAATTTCCACTGCCCCCTACGAATAAATAGCCGAATTAATATTTTTTCCTCCTCCTCGATTCTAAATTTCTTTACAAAATAAATATTACAAACATCCATTAATTTTATAAAAAATAATTATATCCATTTATATATTCCATTTATCAAATCAAGAGCAAAATCCCAGAAAAACCAATTTTAGACCAATATAAAATATACTATTTAATCTAATAATTACTATATTTTTCAAAATCAATTTAATAAATATTCAATATTCTTTAATTTTATACACATATTATTTAGAATTTTCGAATAAATTAATTCAATCTTAATATTTTTCTTCAACAATTAACTATATTTATCGTATTATTATTCCGATAAAATATATATCAATTTTACAATTATTTTTTTAAATTCGAATATATATCTATAATTTTAAATAAACCTTAAATCGATTTCTTACTTATTTAGTTGTTTAGATTTATGAATCTTTCCTAATTTATTGTTCGATAATCTAGAAATTCAATTGATATCATTTGATTATTGATGTATGTTAATTTCTTGTCATTCATCTTCCTTGCTTCTTGGCCTTGGAGGTGCCAACCTCATTCAAGCAATCAAGAAATGCCGGAAACATCTTGTGAACCTTTTCTGCAATTGAGACTTGCTGAGCCCCTGTCTTGAGGCAATCCACCGTTGATTGCTTCACCTGGAGCGTTTGATTCTCTTGCGAAATATGCAAAGTTAAGCTTTAGAAAAACTGAGACCCCTCACGGCCGGGCATCCTTTAGCGAAGGCTTTGGCATTGCGTGCGCGCATGACCAAATCAAAGGCACCAATGTCTTGCAAACGCCTTGGGACATCTTGGAGCTAAAATGTACATTTGTTGCGCTGCAGTCGTATTTCGGATGCACAAAAACTGAAACAAATCTCGCGTGCTGAATCAGAACAAACGGTACGCAATCAGCCAAGTCGCTGTGCATCAAGTTCTGCAAAACGACGCAGGGCCTCACCGAGTGACTTTTTGACTTAAAACTGCAGATGTCCAGCCTGTTCCATCCACCAACAATGCCTTATTCCGAGAGAACATTGCAATCTGTGCCTGTGATCCCCAAAGTGCCACCTGACAGACTCTCACACCAAGTGCCACCGAATAAACGTGTTTTCCTGAAGCGAACACCACGCTGATTGAAGCTTTCTTGGAAGACCTGAAACTGCTCCCCTGGAAGCCGTAGGCGGGTTTATTTTTTCTTCGATATATGGCTTTCTTAGAAGCTTGACGTGCAACCATATGAATTCGAGCGGGTAAGGCTCATCGCTGCAGCCGCTCTGCAGCGCGGAAGGACGACGGGATCATGTGATCCGTGCTTCTTTGACCACTCAGAAAAGGGCTCAGCTGGGGCTATTCATTCTTTTCTTGCTTGTGTTCGTTCTCATCACTTCCTTAGCGCAAGCAACTAATTCAAACAGCTCAATCGAAGGTGCCAGCGCTTCTGTGGACTAGGCGTGGTTGGTCCAAACGAAAGTTTTCCCCGAAAATAGTATTTACAACTAGTAGCAAAGGGCATTGGCGATGTTTGGATTCAATTTCCAAAGGGCATTACTAGTAGTAGCTCCTCTCTCCTAGCAACAAGGGCATCGCTACTAGTAACAAGAAGCTATTAGTAGCCAGGGCGTTAAGCTACTATGTGCAAGCTTTGTAGCTGCAATCTCAGATCTGCAAGCTACACTGGGGCGGGGCAACTACTGTAGGTAGATGTAGGTAGATATCAACTGCCACTATTTGCAAGGCAAACTGGAAGCTGAGTTGAGCCATGCTCCTAACAAAACCTTGGCCACGGTGGGCATCAACACCAGCATGGCTAACGCAGGAGCAGCGCCTGGCTCACTGAACTCTTCTGTTCACTCTGCGACAGGTGTGCAGAATGCTTCAGGAATTGAGGTGAGACCAAATCAGCTTCCAAAGTGCGCCATCCGAAAGGTAGTGAGGAACTGTCCCAATTCGCCAGCAGGCGATCAGTCCACGAAGAACGCGTACGAAGCCAGTGACGCTTCTCTCAGCTCCGGTCCGGCGGTCCTGCCTCCCCAAATGATCATCGGATCCGTCTTAGCCACCTCTTCCGCATCGCGAAAACCCAAGTAGATATCGCCAAGCCTTGCTCTTTATCGGCAGACTCCCCTAGGATCCCGCAAGTTAACTCAAAAGGATCGGACAAAGTGCAGTCAGGGTGCTGAGATCCTAAATACGCTTGTGCTGGAACACCAAAGCAGGAACCAATAAGGCAACCTGAGTCACAAACAGCTGGTGAACTCTAGGACGTGAACCACAATGGCATCTCAACACAAGTACTGTATGTGGCGAGTGCTCGTGAACTCTATTGCCTTACCCCCTCTTCTTGCTTACGCCTTTCGTGCAGCCTCAGTCTGCCGTCCACCCAAAGGCTCGGAGGAAAAATAGGCTATGTAATAGCTGTTGCTCATTCCCTCCCATTTCACACATGCCAAGTTGCACGTAATGTAGTCCCGGAACCTGCACAATTGCCCTGACGCTTTCCAACACCGAAGACAACACATCAGGCCTGATATTCAGAAGCGCCAAACCATAGTTTTTCCTGGCCAACACCGGGTATCACTGGGTACTGTAGCATGCTTTTTCAATGAAATCGGCGATTGCTGGTGCTGACTGGATCGGCGTCGCTGCTGAACCACTACTCTACTCCAAGCTTCACAAAGGCTGGCACCAATGCTAAACGGAAAAGCGTCCTAAGCTGGTCACTGCGAGACAGGGAAATTGCATCATGACAGCGCCGCTGAACCCTTCCTTGCAATGTTGCTTTCATTGATTCCTACCCAAGTTTCCCATAGTATATGGGGCTGCTCACCAAAATGCGATCCACCCGTGCCACGGTTGGATGTGCCAGAACGCTGTTCTTTCCTCAGCTTGACTCCAAGAAGCTTGCTACGCAGCCCTGCAAAGCGCAAAACAAAAAAATACACTGCACAAACCCGGCAAACCAAGAGAACCCATTCAATTGACATGCGTGGCACACATGGCAGCCCCACTGGAGCGAGTCACGCCTTTTGGTGGTTGTTGGCAAGCCAAGTTGCGCGTTGTTGGCAAGACACTACGGGCCACCATAAAACAACATATGCTACCCAACCTCAGTTGTTGGTAGGCCCTATGGATCTACCAGAATCGGTAAACACGTCCTTCTGGCCAAAGCTGATCGTTCATCTGTGATCTCCACTCTCTGACACCAAGTGCTGCTTGGCGACGTTTTGGCGAACAACAGCATGCCTTCGCTGGTCAATCAGCTCTCTGTGAGATGTGGCGAATGCACATGAATGCACTTGACTCATCTGTACAATGCATAATTAATATACGCTTCATGCATGAACCACTCTTTCTGGACCACTCCACATGGTGCATGGTGCCTGAACTGCGCTGCATCCCCCGACCAAATTCAAGTCACAACAACAGCTTTCACGTGTTTCTTGTGCAATCAAGAGTCAGTCGAGTCTGTCTTTGTTTCTTCCCGGTATGTGTAAAATGCGCGCGGTATAGCGAGGGCCGTGTTGCAACCTGACTGTCCTCCGCAACTCATGGCATACCAAGCGTCACATTGATGCTTTGAAGCCATAGACCCAAGCCGCACCCAAATCAACGAGAGCAAAAGGTATGCCAGATACTGTGATGGCCTGTCCGCTAGACGAATTCAATGATGCTTGCTTCTCTCTGGGCTTCAAGATAGTCTTTGAAGCAAATGGTAGCTTGGAACATCCACCACAATCAGGCAAGCACTCTCAGCACAGGACAATTGAAAGGGTTGCATGCATCACCTCAACATCCCAATTCTCTTGATATCTTTTGAGGTTGAGGGGGGTGGGCCCCACCTACTCGTCCGCTGAGAGCACACATTAGTAGCCTCCTATCACCTCAACCGCAACTAATGAGCATAAAATCTATAATATAGAATTATATATATATACAGTTTTATCCAGCATATAGATAGGGATAAATAGGGCTAGGACCACAAACTTATCAGGTCTGACCAGGTTCGTGAAAGCCATCTCACACACCCTTGCTGTGGAGAATTGCCCTTGCTCAGCAACGAAGTCAATCCGAGAGGCACCGCCCAGCACAGGATTGCTGCGCATGAAGGACCTGATAGGCTGAGCTCGGTGAGCTCGGTGAGCTCAGCAGCGAGCCCGAACGACCGTCGTGTTACGGACCCAGCGACTCCTGGGACGGTTCGGATGTACGAAGCACTGTCAGACCCTAGCATCTTGGTAAAAATGGACGGAACCCCCATTCTGTGGCCCAACAATACCCAGAAATGCCAAGTGGGAGAAACAGCCAGCTGTCTAGTTCAAAGAGGTTCGAAAAGTCCAAGCAACGCAAACAGTGCTGCCTTGGACTTCAGAATTGGATTCGACGAGATGGCGGAGCCTGACCAGTTCATGAAACAACCCAATGCCAACAAGTCTGTTACAAGTAAGTCAAGAAACCTGTCATAACAAATGGAACCCAAGTAATTATCACATAACAAATGGATACACATGGTTTTCTCTCTAACAATTTGTTAGCTGCTGCCTACGACAAGGACACCAACCAATGCTCCAAAGCCCAGTGCTTTGTCCTGGTTCAGATGGAACATAGTAAGTCAACAAAACTGGCGTTGACTTGGCGATGCGAGGCAAACACTTATTTATGCACTTGAGGAAGCGCTCTCGTACTATTGTTGCGTCCATCTCAGCAAACAGCTTCCTTCAACTTGTTCAGCAGCTTTCCCATCAGCAGCTACCTTGCGTCTAACATAGCTCCCTCTATCAGAGTCTAGCATTGCACGCTCAACGAGACATACTGCTTTCAACATGGTAAATGTAAATCATACAACAATTCATTCCGTTCCCAAGAGCTGAACATATCTGGACATAACTTCTTGCAAAGACGCCGTGGTGGCGGGTGGCCGCGGCAGTCGCTCAAGCACGTCGGAAAGAGCTAGGACACATCAAGGTCTAGCAGCCCAGCCAACACAAGGCCGACAAACTAGGGCTTCAATCAATCTGTTTTATTCAATGTGTATGGCAAGGGTCACACATGCAAACGTTTCTTTCCTAATTATCCATATATATATATATAATCTGGACAATGTGCGAGCTGCTGGCATGCTCTGATGCTTTTGTTGGACTGACTCTGAGGTTTCAAGTTACAGTAGAACAGCGTGAGCATGACTCATGTACCAGCTGCGCAGCTTTGAGGGACGGAAAATGCCACCGGACAGCACACAGTACATAGATCTGCTCGGTCCATGCAATTTCATGCATTTCGATCTTTGGTCTTGCGCCGATTCTCAGATTGCATGACATTGACCCCACGGCGCACCCAACTGGCCCTTGGGAACGACTCCATGGCGTCCATGATAACCTGTGGAACTCCGCAATCGTTCGGTGCAGAAGAAAAAGAACAAACGGGGTGTTCCACCGGAGGCATAAGTCAACAATAGCTCCTCTATTGTCTGGAGTCGAAAAGTCAAACGCATGGAGGAGCAGCGTCGGGGCTGCCCTGCAACGAACAAGATTGAACCATCAAACTGTTCTGTGAGGGATGACAAACACGGTTTTGATGCAAACTGACCCACTCTGGAGTACTGACTTTGAGGATTCTGACATATTCTGGCTTGTCCAACGAAAGGGCATGAAACGGTTCCATCAAGCGATAATCCTCAATGTTTCCTGTATCCCTTAGTATCCCTTCTAGGTTGCAGGCCCTAAAGATCTAGGAGGCGAATGATTAGTGCGAGTGCTTCAAGAAGCGTGAGCTATCCTGCGTCCTACCTAGAAGCGTCCTACTTAATAGCTGCTATATATATATGGGAGTTGATAAATTCCTTTATCCGGGATCCGTCATTTTCGCCAAAAAAAAATTTACTTTCGCCAAACTTTCGCCTTCCTGCGTTTTATCTTTCGCCGAAGTACGTTGTATTTATGTGTGCCATGTATGTTGTGTTTTGTTCACGTCAATGGCTTCTTCTTTACGGGCAAACACAAAATAGAATTTCACTGTTTGTCAGCATGTGTCTTCTACTTAACTGTTGACACCCTGTACGTCTCTTTTGTTTCTCCTGGGTGTCAGCAAGAGTCAAAAATGCAAGAATCACTGAAGTAGCCGGTCACCGAAACTTATTCATAATGGGCTGGGGGTCAGATGTGGCAGGGTGAACTTTCGCCAATCTTGAGCTGAACTTTCGCCAAACTTTCGCCTTTTGCGGGGTAGAGTTTTGTGGCAAAGCCACCCCCC